GAGCTGCGTCTAGGTAGTATTCCGCCAACCCGCCCGTAGCACTCGTCTGGATCGAGAAGGTGGCAGAGATGCGCTATGCTGGGCGCTGCAGAAACCCATCAAATCGAACGACGACCATGTGGGCTCCGTACGAGCGCAAATAGCTCGTTGAGCTGAGTTGAGTCCAAAGAAGTGTGGGATAAGCCTTTGCATATTGTATCTTCGAGAGATAGGCTGTGGAATGACAGACATAACTCTACCATTCCGCAGGGTAGCGAGGATACAGTGTTTGCTGGATGACTAATCGACTGGACAAAGAGAACCAACATGCTAGATCAGGAAGGTCACACAACGAGAACACTATCATGGCCATGTTGGCAGTCATCAGGAAAGGGTACGTTACTTACTTACAGTTCCGAGAGTCTGTGACAACACTGTATGATCATCATCCAAATCTATTTTCCGACAATCTCTATCATGGGCCAAGCGTGATAGTGGTAGATCTGTAACAAAGATCTTATTTGCCGCTCGAACTTTGCCACGAGATTGTTGGCTGACTACACATACATAGATGTCAGTATTTCCGGAGTTAACTTTCTTGATGCCTACCTATACGTTTTCCGTAAGCCAGCGCCGGATTTTTGCTCCTGGTATCCGGCTACTCATGATTACATCCCATGGTTTCAGTAGCCTTAGAAGCTGAAGTCTCCGAGAGGTAGAGAGCTTGTTTGATTGTACACTAAGTAAAGAAATTGAGACAATAAGCCGAAAAAATTGGTGTCTGAGGATATCGTCATGACGAGAAGTTGACAAGGGCTAATTGACTCTTCACACAATGGATGACAGTACCAAGGAGTTTGTGGAGACCGAGTAATCGGGGTTCCCGTGCCTTACCCTTAGAATTACACACATAACTACCTAATTAGTGCACGTACAAGGCGGCACTGAAGCGACGGCACATTCAACAATGTCGGGTAGGGCCAAGGAAATGAAGTAAAAAATACGAACGACTTACCGTGGATAAATGTTGGTATGCAAACTGTCTCAGCAGTGGAATCTTGATCTGCACGGCGATAGATCGACCGGCAGTACTGGGAATGACAATTTCCGTGTGCTTCTCTGGTGTAGACCATGCTTGGCCACAGCCCATTTGCCAGGCGAAATATGTAGGGTTTTAGAGGGCTGACTTGGCTAGTGAGCTTGTCACCCTAACGCGTGGCATGATGTGGTGAACTGGGCTGCTGGCGGGCTTCGATAGGGCAGAGTCTGGGCAGAGGTAGGTAGGAAATAGTAATATCTCCATGTAAGGGCCGAGATGACGAGGAACAAAGTTGGGGAAAGCCCACTTTTCGAACGCGTGTGTGCTTCGGTCAGACTTCGATGTAGGCTTCGATCGGGCTTCGGTGGGTGTTCTCGAAGCATGCGACAGGCGCCAGAAGTTCTTGTGCCGAGCGCGCGAGTGGGAACAAAGCTGGCAGGGCGGGAGAGCTGCAGGGGGGCGCCCGGCCTGGTGCAGAAGGGACAGGAGCACGCAGCCAGTCATGGCGCTGCGCTGCTCCAAGCTAGCTCGTTCGCCGGGTCTTCTGGAGGTTTTGCTTACGATGCACGCCCATCTCCATGTGGTGTAATCAAAGGGCCACCAAGGGCCTGAGTCGGTGCCGCATGCCTACTGGCTGGAATCCTCCGAAACACCTTATTAGCCCGCACCCAATTCGCTGTCTCCGGCCTGCATATCTGCAGTACATACAGTGAGTGAGTGGGTGTGCACACTAGGTGTTTGGATACTGCTACGGTACCTCCAACGTACAGCAGCTGATGAGGGGAGGGGAGGGGAGGTCAGTAGAAGTCCATGACTGTCTGTGGCCGTCGTCGGTGTCATCGATGTTCTGCAGATTGATGAATCCGTGAATCGTCTATGTGGGCTGGCGTACTGGTAGAACGAGCCTGGAGGAAGCAGGCGAGGGAGGTGTCAGGTGTCAGTTAGGCTGAGGTGTCGGCCATGTCACGCGATAAGGCGGGCTGTTGCACAGTCCCTCCCTCCTGTTGAATTGGGATTCATTTACATGCACCGTACTACATATCAGATACATACCAAGTATGTAGGTTGATGGTGGTGGTGGCGTACTTGATGAGATAATAAAGGATGGCAGGCATGCTGGTTGCTGAAACGGCGCGCAGGATCTGCTGTCAGCCGCAGCCGCAAGGGGCACTTACTTACACCTTACTTACATGGTATCGTATAAGGACACGACGAACATCTCGCACGCCAAAGTAAGCATTCGAGGCTCGTCGGGGCGCGCACTCGGTCGATCTGGGTATTCCAGCTCGCAGTGTCTGCAGCTGTCCTCAAAGTGAGCGAAGGATGGGGGGATGTTGGTGCCGTGCTTCTGAACACCAGGGCACGCTATGACTACTTGGGTAAACTGGATCGATGGCTGCTGTCCCTGTGAGGCGTGGATAGACTACCTAGGTATGTATGTATGTAATGGAAGTCGAAGTATTCGTGGACAATTCAGACGAAATGAAAATTCCAACCGAAAGTCAGCCGAAAGTGCACCAATAGCCACAATGTAGGTGGATGGTCTTCTTATAACCGATGCTGGGTTCCTCCTGGTAGAGGTGTAAAGGTTAATGAAGATTTGTGAGACATTGGTGGAGGCAATATTGGAGGACTGCAAGGGCCACTGCACTTAGCTACATAGGTACATCTACATTACCACAGTGGTCAATCAGTCCCCATGTTAATCAGTCAATCGAGCTGTTAGCGAGGTACATCTCGAGTGCCGGGGACCTGCCCTGCTGGTATCGCCATGGGCTGCGCTAGCGTACCAACATAGCACCTTGTCGATTAAGTACTTACCTAGGTATGTACATAGTAGAGTATTCCACTTACTTAGTGTGGTATGTATTAGCCCAGTAAAGCCCACAAGGCTAAGCCAAAAGTGCCCAGTGTTTTCCAAATGCCAGGTCGACTTGGTTGACTAGCGAGACTAGCTAGGTAACCTTTTCCAATTTCCCTACACATATCTTCATAGGTATACTACTGTATGTATAAGGTAGGTAATGTAAAACTACCTATAATATGTCTATACCTGTGATACCTGTAATGAGCATATAGGTACCTACCTAGGTAATGTGAAGTACTTAAGAGAAAGAGATAGGTATTGTATCTAGCGCAGCAAGTAGTGTCTCGAAGTATCTGTAGTTCAGTGGACCTATCCCACCCGAACCACCCTTTTTTTTTTCTTTCCTTTCTCTCTTGCAACCACACCTCTATCAGTTAGATACACGTAGTATCATACTCTCCATGTAGTGGATGTTTTCTCTGGCGATATCTCTAGGCCAGATATATGTACTGTGTACTTTACTACTACTCGGCATTGCCTAGCCTCGCTCGCCTAGCTTAGGTAGTTGCAAGTTGCAGTACATACCTCTGCTCGGCTCTGCCTCAGGCCGTTGATAGCGCTCACGCTCGCACTGATAGCGGATAGGGCTAGCTCACTAGTAGTAGGTACATGTACAGCACACTAGCCTGCTGCGTCCCACCCAGGTTCGTACGTCAGTAGCTATGTACCTACCTACCTACTCGGTACATAAGATAGATGGTCTGGAGTCTGTCTACTATGTAAGTACATAGTAGACGGGAGGTTACTAGGTAGTAAGTAGTACCTTGCTAACAATTGCCCGTCCCTCGTCCCTTGTCCCTCGTTGCTCGCGCTCTTGTGTTCTGCTGCTGTTGCGACACAGTTCACCTTTCGTTGCCACCCTGTACCTGCTTCTGCCTATAGGTTAACAGACCTACCTACCTACCTATCTCTTACCTGCCTTCTTTTACCTATTTACCTACCGTACCTACCTCTCCCTACTGTACTTGTACTGTACCTGCCGACTCCTACCTACCTCTTGAGGCGGTACGAGACAAGTAGTCAGTCTTGCTTCTTTCTCTCCTTCACAGTCCATCGACACTCTGTCCCGTCGGCCTCTTCTTATTCTTCTCCTTCTTCTATCTATACATCATTCCTATTGCCAAGGCATAGTTCCATTCACCAACATCTTTTCTTTCTTGTCGCTATTCTTTCGAGGCCGCTAACCATCTCTCCCACGTTCATCACCACCTGACACACACTACTTGCATTCTTGGCTAGACATCCTACGATATACAATACCATTCACTTGACTTGTCGAGTCGGCGTCTCACCTGCCGACCTATCTTCTTACCTACGTCGCCGTCATTCTTCAGCAACCCGAACTACCGTTGCATTGTGACTGGCATCTTCCCTACAGCTTGTACATACATACTTCCGGTCCGCTAGAGCCTCCGCTACAGCCTCCGCTACAGTCGTTTCCATCCCGCCAGCGTCTTGCGCATCGATTGTTTCCTACTGCGTCGACATCACCTCGACCCTATCAGTCACCTTGTCGCTGCAATTACCACGGCATACATCGCTTCGCCACCGCGCCCAACTATCGGGCCGAGGACTTCATTGTTCGCTACGGAATCCCATACTAACGCGCTGCTTGAAAGGCAAGCTCGTTAAGTTCGTCGCTGGGCCGGTGCTCTTGCTACTTATTTCTACAACTCCCGACAGATTTCCTATGTCAATCGCGACCTGCTTCGCTATATCTTCCGTCTATCTTTGTTTCCGTCGCATGTCGGTAACTCCCCACCTTGTCTAGAATTGACTCGTGCGCCCGGATGGTTGATTATCTTATCTCGTGTCAATTGTCATTGCAAGCTGATCCAGTTTTTACACAAATCCCTTTTGCACCATAAGACGCGCCGACCGACGATCGAACGTTATACGCGAACTCGGAAACCCCTGAAAAGAGTTGTAGGCTGAGACATCTTGCTAGTAGCCACTGTTGTTCAGCGCGACTACCTGTGGCTATTTCCCGGAATATACAGGATTACTACTTGCGCCCACTCAGCTGATTTGGTGTATTGACACCTATTTGCGGCGGCATTTCGTTCCCTGGTGGAAGCGCTCCAGTCGCAGGACTGGATGCCACAGTCCGCCATGATGGATGATGATATTTGCAATGTTATATATGTGGACAAAAATGTCTACGTAAATCGATTACTCAGGTCGCCCATCACAGATCTGCACGAGACCGGTGATCTGCGAGCTAATCTGAACCTGCTTTTAAATGCCTTCGGTCATGGTGAGTCTAAATACTGCACTCGTACACTTCGTTCACTAATCCTTCTTACGATAGTTCATTTGTGTAAGAATGGCGCCGAGTGCATGGAGAAAATTGCCGATTTACACAGCACCTCAATGGTTGAACTAAAGCCAACACTTGTACTAATAGATACACCGCATGATGAGGAGCCGCCTGAAGTGATACCTGTGTCACGGGACCCTTCACCTTGCTCAAAAGTTGCCTCCAGCGATCACAGTGAAGATGGCATAGGACGCGATCTCTATGGATTGGCGCTTTTGGAGAAAATTGTATATGAGACGCATTTGAAGAGTCTTTCCAAACTGGTTGTACCGATCCCTGTCGTTCAATTCCCTTCGCTACGAGCCAAACCATCGATAAATGGAATCGAGCAAGATTCACCACAGTCTACAGATATCGGACGTTTTTTGAAGTCTCACGGTACCTCGGACAAAACGCCGACGGGCCGCGCTCTCGTGCGAAGGTGTCTTGATTCAGGTGCTGTAGATGTTATGGCTAGCCCAGTTCATGTTCACACACTCACGACACTCGAGGGCCATGCATACCGAGCACACAAAGAAGCATCCAAGGACCAACAAGCATTACTTGAGATTCGAAGGGGGCGGAAGCGGTCCTGGGTTGGAATACACGAAGAAAAGCCATTTGCATATTTGAGAGAAGCCATGGTATCCGCGCTGATGGGTGGAATCTGTCGCTCAGGTGAAGAGAATGAGAGTCGCATCTCCGCCGTGAGGATTGATATCTCGCCCAAGCGTCGCATGGATATCGAAGAAGCCCTAGGCAAATGGCACTTCTGTGCTCCTTGCTATGATGATGACTCGCTTCTAATCGCTGCAGCTCTGATGTTCGAACATGCGTTAGCGATGCCAGAATTGGAAAAATGGCGGATACCCACAGGTGAGTAGTTTCTCAGACAATTACCCTAACGCTTACTTGATATTAGCTAATACTGGAAGGTAGATCAACTCATAACGTTTCTTGTCGCGTGTCGTGCGGCGTACAATCAGTTTGTACCATACCACAATTTTCGACATGCAGTTGATGTATTGCAAGCTACATTCGATTTCCTCATTCACATCGGAGCTTTACCGCCGTATCGATCCACGCCACAATCTCTGCCCACTGCACAGAGGTCGCAAATCACCTGCTTGCTAAAGCCATTCGAAGCTTTGACTCTTCTTGTTAGTGCTATTGGTCATGACGTGGGCCATCCTGGTGTCAATAACGGCTTTCTTGTCACTCTTAATGCTCCTCTAGCCCAGTTGTACAACGACCGTTCAGTCCTCGAATCGTTCCATTGTGCGGCTTACTCACAGATTCTTCGGAGGCATTGGCCCCGAGTATTTGAGGACAGAGAAATGCGCACTCTCATGATTAGCTCTATCCTCGCCACGGATATGGGACTTCATTTTGACTATATGAAGAGGTTAAACGAACTTCAGAAAGAGATAAAATCGAACCCCTCAATTAACGAGTGGCCTGACCGCACGCGCGAAGAGCAGAAGGCGCTGATATGTTCACTTTTGATCAAATGCGCCGATATCAGTAATGTAGTAAGTGACGCTTATTCAATGATGTGCAACGTACTACATTCAAACTAACCTAAAATTGTAGGCTCGCCGATATGACGCTGCCTTGCAGTGGATGAATATTCTCTGTGATGAGTTCTCTCGGCAAGCTGCGATGGAAGAGGAGATCGGAATCAAATCGTCACTTATTCAGCCACCCAAGAAAGACTTTCGGTCCCTTGCCAAAGCTCAGCTCGGCTTTGTGAAGTTGTTCGCCATCCCCTTATTTCAAGGAGTAGCTGAAATATTACCTCAGATGCAATACACAGTCTCAGAAATCGAGAAGAATACAGGCTACTTTGAAAAGACACTCGAGAAAATCCAGGGTATGGACGAAGATTGCGATCGTATTTTCACGCAGCAACCACTGGATTCAAAGATAATGAAAATGGTCGAAAACCTAGCCGCAGATGAGAAAGACTGGCTTGCAATGGGATCAACCGACCTGGCTCCAGCTTCTTCGAACCTGGATCGAATGAGGGAAGCCGGGTCTGCGCCTCCCTACAAACTGACCCGGGTCCCTGATATGTCACGTCAGTACAAAGAAATCAACGCCCTCACTACTTCCTTTGACAATGTTACAGATTATCCTGTTAACGGCGCATTCCACCCTGGTGAGCATGAGGATGGGCCTCTAAGGCGTAATGAAAAACAACGCTCAAGCAATACTACCGAGGGAAGCAATTCTGTCCCGTGTTCTGGAGACTGGCAATCTCAGGCCACAAGCGCTACCACTGGTAAAATGCCGCTTTCTCCAAGCACGCAGGGAACAAGCATCGTCAGCCAGGACTCTGTAGAGCGACCATCAAGCGACCCAACAACAGCAGTCACAGCGCCGGACTCATCCCGGACCACAACGCCCGTCGCAGTCGTGGATTCAGCACCGGCGTCGGAGGAAGAGTCCAATGGCACCCTCAAGCCTGATGGCACTCTTAAGAAGAAAACGAGCCGTTTCAGGATGAACGTCTCGAATCTCTTCAGGAGGAACAAAGGCGCGAGTTCCCCCGCTTCTGGCGGATCAGGCGGCTGACACAGCATGGATTCATCGGGGGAAGCCAAAGCACTAGCATCTCGTTGAGATGTTTGATGAGGAACTCCTATTTCGATTACGACCTAAAGTATTTATGATACCCAGCAAAAAGATAGAAGACACGGGCGACTAAAGGAACGAGGCGGCAATTGTACAGGGCCAGCACAGGGATGGATGTATGCTTGTTTCCACGTACATACTGTATATTTTAGCGCCGACGGGGGAAACATTTCCCGGTGGCGTCGAGGATCATTTGGCGATGCACGTAGACTATGTGCGACGGACGATACCGGGGGACGTGATTAAAATAGCATTGTTGCTGGTTGCATACACGGCGTTCATGGTATTCTGGCAGCTCAGGGGGGACCAACTTCATTATTGACCCGAAGCTACGCGTGGAAATGGGAGCGAGAGACAGACGGTGGTGGGCCTTATACTCAAGACGCGAGGCTGTCTTGGACTTTGAAGATGATATTTTTTTTTGGCTATTGGATGCCTGGTTGTAAACGTAGGGGAATTCAAAGAGCACACGCTCGCCCAGGTCAACTCATGCTCTATCTACTACCACTTTTGCGAATGCTTTTGCCCTTGGTACTACTATAATTGTACGGCCATTGGCCAATCATTTCACCTTTGGTTACTAGGTAGCCCAAGGAGATTCGCCCATTACGTCTGCAAGGTTACACTCGATCTATGTATGTTTCCTTTCCGACGTACTGAGTAAGGGATTTACGTTGAGACAGGTTAACTGTGTACTACTGTGTGACAGTGTGGGCCTATGAATGGCAGATAAGCATGACTTGAAGCAGCATTTTGGGTAACGATGAATCCTCTTCTTATCTGCGGTGGGTTTCCTGACTCGGGACTCGAAGAAGAGCTAATCTATCCCTACGACATGTATGTTTTAGCTATCAATTGGTAAGCCTCCGATGTGATCAATCAATAAAAAAACTATATAGAACATTGGTGGTATAGGGCATGCCCGCGCGAAGCGCGCATTCGCCGTAGTCGTCCCTTGGCGATCCGATGGTTTGAGGGGAAGTGCCTAGCGATGAAGATTGTGAGGGTTGCTTGGAACCGCACTGTTTGCTGATTGGTCTATCGTTCCTACTAGTCGTGCCCATTGACATCATCCCTTCCCCAACTTGCATGACTGCGCGAGGTGGAAATTCTGGGAAATTGGCAACTCGCGACGATCCATGGCCGAAGCGGCTGCCATTCTCGAGAGCGAATTATGGAGTACCTATATAGTGGGCAAAATATGTAAATGGGATAGACATGTCAAAAGACCTTGAGTTTTGTTGTTTCGAGGCTTGTCTCGATCTTTCCCGGTCGAGGCGAGGCAGGCTAGGTTAGCATTGTCGATAGATCATCTCCTTGATGTAGACTAGGTAGTTACGATTACTTTCGACCATCCCCACGAGTTTGCGTGATGGACGGGAAAAACCGCGCCCCCGGCACACCTTTGGGACACAACAGCGGGACACAGCATAATCCATGGGAACCGAACGGAACTTGTTGGTGGTGAAGCAGGGTGGATAGTAGCCGGGAAGCAGCATGACGAATGAGCTGTGGATCAAATTACCAGACAGACAATTCCATTCCCACATTCACATTCCATCACCAACAAGAGAAGGGGCCTTCCAAGGGATGGGTCGATCCCCCACATGTGATATAAATTTATGGGCGCAAGTCACTCCTTGATATGGCAAGACAAGCACCGTGGTGCAGAGGATGGGGAATGAAAATGAAGAGAATATGCAAGTTCTCTGCAGAGGATTGTAATATATCACATATGTAGTCGACTTTGCAAGGCATGGAACATGTCATGGTGGCGGGTGATCTGCAGGGTTCCCCGGCTTTTAAGACGGCTGCTTTCAGCAGGAGCCATTACCGCCGCAGCGGCCACTGGCCCACTGTCTACATACCTCCCTCTCGCAGTACAGAACCCAGTACACTGCCCTCAACTGTCATAGACACCAGACTTCAGAAGAAGCCCACTATTGAGATCACATGGCAGAGGACTCATACATAGTACACGCCCGACTGCAAGTGTCTTGTAGGCGCCGGGGAAGTAAGTAGAGTGTCATGTAGAGTGCCGTGTATAGTGGCGTGCAGCGCTGGGTACCCTCTGCTAGAGCACCAGCAGCACCCCGCAGGGTCCGGTACACAGGTACACGCCCTCTGCGCACCACCAAGCCCGAACGAACTGCACTGGGTTTAGGTGCGTGGACGGCACGGAAATTTGCCCAGCATGGCGCCCGGTACTAATACTAATGGAACTAATGGAACGAATCGAGGAGGATTAAACCCCGACTCGAGAGCCAGTCCCGTCAAGAAGTGCAGAATCCTGGGATTCTACCCTTCTCGTGCCCTCCCTTCTCTCACGACTTGACCCCGCGTTCGCATCGAGGCCTCGCCTCGACTACCTCGACTGCCTACCTCATACCTAGTAGCCAAGCCAGTATACTATTTCTCTGACCCTGCCCGCCCGCCCGCCCGCCAACCAGCCAGCTCGCCCATTCCGCCATCATCGTCAGCTTGAGCCAGCCTCGCTACCTACATACCTTTTCCTCTGGATTATTTCCTTGTGTATTTCGGCCAGCCCCATCATCCATTCTTCTCTTCCCTTTTTATTTGACCCCTGCTCGCCCTTCTCAGCCGGCTTTGTTCAGTCCCCAGTGCTATCCTTTGTGCCGCGTCTATTGTCATTTTCAATTATGAGCCATATTCATGGCAGTGGCCAAGATCTCGGTGAGCCCTCGTGTTTGCTGGTTGTAGTTTGCCAGTCCATGCCATCTTCCGTGCTGTTGAAGATGCTGTGTCCACAGCCCCCAAACGCTGCTGACACCTGGTCCTACCGATCTAGGCGCCGACGCTGTCAATATCCAGGATGACGACCAACAGCAACCACAACCGCAACCCTCTCAGCCCCAGGCCCCACGCGGCCGCCTGCCTGCAAGGAGCAAGCTCACTCCGGAATTACAGATTCCCAAAAATCGGAGCACTGGAAACCTCCCTGCCGTCGCCGAGAGCGATTCTGACATGGACGAGTACCACCCCAGGCTTCGCTTCTCCCTCGATGCCGGAGCCATGCCTGTTGGGCCAGACACTACCACTACCACGAGGTATGTTCTACGATGCTACTCTTCACTGAATGAGAGCTGCTGCTGCCATCAAATGGCCCTGTAAGCGACGTGAATGGTGTGCATGCCAGTCTGCATTCATATATGGCCTCCATGATGACTGTGGCCGCCATAAATACCACCCATTACTATTACGTACATGGTCTTTAGCACCACATCACATGTGCACCCCCTACTCAGCCTCCGTTGCCTATTCATGCCGCGCACATGCGCACTCCAGCAACCACATGCAAACTCCCTCAGCCTTTCGCTGATGACTGACTTGATGACCTTCCTGCCAGCCGATCTACCTCCATAATCGCCGAACATGACCATGGGCTCGGTATCTCTGGTCTTCGACGCATCCGACAAAATCCTTCCCCACGCAATCCGACGATACCCTCGACTGCCGCATCATCCAGAAGTCCGTCGACCAGCCTGGCGCGCTCTACTTCTCTGAACATAATGCTCCCGCAGGGTCCCTTGGGTTCGGGACCCTGTTCTCCTGTTTTCGCCGAGGATCTCTCCCGTTTCCCTTCGGAATCGTTGCACTCCTTCTCCTTCGCGCACCAGTCAGAAGAGCTCATACATAATCGCCAAAATGTGTTAAAGCGGTCCATAGAATTCATGAAAGATCGTATCGGTTGGAACCTTTCGTCCAATGCTGCCCTTGCCAGCGCCCAAGCTAGAGTGACTGGTGATGTGGAAACACAAAACATGCTTGACCTGTTAGCCAGGGCACAACTAGTCGGTGCAGGAAATCTACCAAACGCTGACCCTGCCTTCGCTGCTCCTCCTATAACTGGGCCGGCTGACTTGTCCGGCGTGAATGTTTTCGATCGACAATTCATCCCTAGGACTGGTAGCCCTGAATCCTATGCCACACCAATGGTCTCGCCTGCAACCACTCGCCCGCCTACACTGGTGCCAGAAAAAGCACCTACTACCAAACAGCCACAGCTCAAGGACGAGAAAGCGTCGACTTCGAGCCATGTGCAGGTTCAACACGACCAGACCGATTCGGAGAATTCGTCCAGAACACCTACCAACGAGAGTAATTCCACTACAAAGACGTCACCACCCGTGACCAGACCTGCCAGCCTCCGGCGGACCTTTACTGATGTAGCGGCTGCGGGTGTTCAGCAAAAGCTCCTCGATACCATGGCCCAACCCTATGTTGCTAATCAGTCTACCACTGCCTACCCTGAAGCATTATTGTCCCCGGTGGTATCGTCTCGACCCTTTAGTTCTCTGACTCCATCTGGTACCCTCGGCCCTGCGGTGCATGGACATTCGTCGCGATGGGTACCCGCTGCACAGGCCATCTTTACGACAGAAGCTCGTCCACCATGGACTATTATCGCCGCAAACGATTTAGCCTGTCTAGTATTTGGCGTGACAAAGGCCGAGGTTCGAAAAATGGGAATTTTAGAGGTCGTGCAGGAAGAGCGGCGGGCGTGGTTGGAAAATAAGCTTATGCAGGCCGACTCCGATAACGTACAGCAGACCCCTACCCGTGTTGCGCCTAGTCAGCCTCCGCCATCAATAGGTTCAAATTTGCTTGGTGGTCGGGGAGGTATTACAGCACAGCTATTGAACAAGCCAAATTCGAGATCCCAGCCACCCAAAACCTCCGCACGTCGTGCTGTGACCATTCACAATACCGATCCATCAGCGCCTAAGACGCGTGGTGCTAACTCGCACTCGCGGTCAAGGGGCGTGTTACTTTGCGGAGATGTCGTGCCGATACAGAAACGCAACGGCGCAACCGGTTCTGCGAGTCTCTGGGTGAAGGAAAAGAAAGTGGGACTAATCTGGGTTTTAGAGGAAATCCACGAGGATGTTGCCTTCCTAACTTTGGATGAAGATGGAATAGTCACTAAGGCTACAGGCGATAATTTGTCAATATGGGGGAAAGATGTTACTCCTGGGGTAGATGTTGGCGAGTTCATTGCACGCATTCCTCGCCAAGGGATCGACCCGAGGTTCGGTGAAGTCGATTATGCACAGATTGCGAAGCGCAAGTATTTCACTTGTCGCAACAGTGGAAATGTGAATATTCCTGCTACTGTTACACAGACTAGGGGCCAGATGGAGCTCCGCGTGTCTTGCTTCCCTCACATTGCGGGTATCATTGTTGTCAGTACTGACACGCTGGGAATTAAGAGCTCGAATTCAGCATTTTGTGGCGCATTGTTTGGTTACGAGAAACCTGAAGGTCAGCCAATTAACGCCCTGCTGCCAGATTTTGACAAAATACTTCGGGTTCTTCAACAGCAAGATGGAATGCAGATTCGTGACGGAACCGTCATTCCGGAGCATAGTTTCAGGAAAGCATCGGCGTTAGTAGGTATCCGTGAGGGTCGGCCTGATGCAGCAAACACTTTCCTCAACCCCGATGGCTTGCTAGCTAGACATCGGGACGGCACTGAGCTGAAGATTGACGTGCAAATGCGGGTAGTTAAGAGCGAGAAAAAGTCGGGTAATGACTCTGGCACTAGCGATGACGAGTCATCGGCGGATGAGACCGTCGTGTCTAGCGTAGAGTCAGAAATGGTGTATGCTCTCTGGATAACATACTCTAGACATCTACATGCCTCCAAGAACCTGCTCCCGTCTAGTTCTCCCGTTTTAGCTGCCGCTACGACTCCTCCTCATCAGCCATCCCCTGGCCAAACCCCAGCCCATACCCCTCCAGTCATCACCTTGGATTCAGACGAAAGCAGACCAACCTCTCCGCCGGCTAAAACGTCACTTTCTAAACAGCTTAAAGATGTGGCGATTAGTGCCGCTAAGAAAATTGCCGGCGTCTCTGATGCACCGGAGAAAAAGACATCTATCCTAGATGCCAACACTACGGCGCCTGCAAAGAAGACAATAGACGATTTTGTTATCTTGGAGGACATGGGCCAGGGCGCCTATGGCCAAGTCAAGCTAGCGCGGTATAAGCATAATGGTGGGAGAAAGGTCGTTCTAAAGTACGTAACCAAGCGGCGAATTCTTGTCGATACTTGGACTAGGGATCGACGGCTAGGTACAGTACCACTTGAGATCCATGTTCTGGATTACCTCCGGCGTGATGGCCTGAAGCATCCCAACATTGTGGAGATGGAAGACTTCTTCGAAGACGAGACAAATTACTACATAGAAATGACTCCACACGGGCTGCCAGGCATGGATCTCTTCGATTATATCGAGCTTCGCGCGAACATGGATGAGGATGAATGTCGTAGCATTTTCGTTCAGGTGGCCAAGGCTATACATCACTTGCATACCAAAGCAAAAGTGGTCCACCGTGACATCAAGGATGAGAACGTGGTCCTAGACGGTGAAGGCAATATCAAGCTGATCGATTTCGGAAGTGCGGCGTATATCAAGAGCGGGCCTTTTGACGTATTTGTGGGCACCATTGGTAAGTTCATATATGTGCATGTTGTTCACCCGGATAGAGAAACCTTTATTAACATAGCAACCTCTAGACTACGCGGCACCTGAGGTCCTAGCCGGGAAACCGTACGGTGGTAAAGAGCAAGATGTATGGGCACTCGGCATCCTGCTCTATACCATCATTTACAAAGAAAACCCCTTTTACAGCATCGACGAGATAATGGATCGCGATCTAAGGGTGCCATACACGATCAGCGATGAGAGCATCAACCTAATTCGTTGTATGCTCAACCGCGATGTTTCGCAGCGTTACGATATCGACCAGGTGCTCCAACATCCCTGGTGTCACGTGGATTGAAACGATCACTATTCTTATATGAGCTATGAAGGAAAAGAGATATTATGAGAGAAGAATGAAGGGTTTTGACTAGCCTAAAAGTCTATGCAAGTTACCTCAAGCACGAGAGAAAGCGTGTTCACATGATGGTGGGGATGAATGGATGTATACGAGATGCAACTTTGAGAAAGCCTTTGCTTGTTTTACCTGGCTTTCTGTTGTTGGTGGAGGAGGAGGAGGTGGTGGTGGCATACGAGATACCCACAGGAAAGATTTTTCCCTTCCTTGCCCTTATTTTCTTTTCCTTTCTTGAAAACCCCTTATCTGCTTCCTTGCGTACAGGGCGCTGATTATGAAGCGGGGCGAAATGGAGCGAGAACAGGGTGAACGATCATGGTAGTCCAAATGCTTCTTGGCTACAGTTTCATGTTACCAATTTCATGTTACCTTTTCTTTCTTTCCTTTCTATCTTAGTTTCTCCTTTTCCTTTTTTTTGGCGAAGTTTATGTCACGTTCCCCCGGTTTTACTTAGAGATTCATCATCCTATATACGAAACGAAGGAACGAACGAACTCCTGGTTCTTTTTTTTTTTTTAACGTTTTACAGATTAGCATTTGGGCGGCGCAGGGACAGGACACAAACAAATAACACTTTTATTTTTATTATTTTTCAACTTAGAGAGAAAGAAAGAAAGAATAAATCAAAAGATAAATAGCACAAGATGGAACAGAGCAGAACAGAGAAACAGGATAGGATTGGATGGGATGGGGGAGAACAGAATGAGAGGATTGAGAGAAATGAGAAATATATGGTAATACAGACATACAGACAGACAGACGGACAGGGATTTTATTCCTAGATTTCCTGGATATTTCTTTGCTTTTGACTTTGTGAGTGGATGCTATGTGAGGTGATGTGATGTGATGCGATTGATAGGGGGTGGTATATAACTGACTGGCTGACTGACTGACTGACTGACTGGCCACTATTTACATTAACTTCCTTTTGAGATCATGCGCATACATGATATGGTAGGTAATTAAGTAAGTAAGTAAGTAGGTATATGAATAGCGCTTTAATCTATTAGAACACAAACTCGCCGCGCCCGCGGCGGCCGCGCCGCGCCCGGCCCGGGGCGCCCGGGCCCCGCCAC